AGCCCGATGCGGGACTCGATCCAGGGACTCCAGGATCATGACCTGAGCCGAAGGCAGTCGCTTAACCAACTGAGCCACCCAGGCGCCCCAGTGTGATAGTTTCTAAATTTCTTGTATCCCCTCCTCCTATGTTTGCCTATACAAGGAAACATAAACTTGTCTTATTTGTAAAAGCCTTTAAAAAATAATTCTTAAATATTGCACTGATCCTGTTTTTGCTGTAAGTTTAATTGTATATTTTATAAAAACGTCTGAGTGGTGTTATACACAAGGCGATTCAGCTGTCAGGAAACTGGGGGGAATTGAACATCAGAGAAATAATTCTATGAGATAACTTTTATTGATGCCGTTTACCCGTCAGTCTGTTTAGGATGAAGAATATTAGGCACATACAGTAAACTGTGCAGAAACTTTCAACTGAAAGGGAAGTGTCTTGTGATAAATCCTTTTAAGGAGGGCAGTGAGAGGTGTGGGGGTTCACCCCACCCCGGAAGGTACACTTGAGGGTGAGGCACTGTACGTCTGGCCTGGGGAGAGCCCCCACAGCACGGCTGTCCCTCGAGTCCAGCTGCAGGGACCTAGAATTTCTGGGTGTATACTTTACATTTCGGAGCATTATTTTTTCCAGGTTTTCGTTTCTGAAATTTTAGTTAATACATTATGCTGCTTAAGAGGCTATACTTTACCCTTAGAGACAGAAATTGTGTTGTAGCCCTTTGAGACTTTCACTAAAACCCCTAAAGTCGTGTTTGGCAATTAACTAGGTATCCTACACCTCCTGGTTCCTGGACGCCTTCAATTACGCCATCTTGAAGAAGATGGATGTGCTGAACCTCAGCATCGGCGGCCCCGACTTCATGGACCATCCCTTCGTTGACAAGGTTGGTCGTGTCCCCGCACAAAGGACGGTGGCGCTCCTGGTGAGAGCTTCTGCTCTCTGCACTTCATCACTGGTGCTCTGGTGGCCTGTCGCAACAATGGGCGAGGGCGTGAGCTTTGGCGATTGCATTGGGAGCAGCACATCCTGGTTCCTTCTCCAAACGGCGCGTTTCTGAACCTGCGCAGAGAGCGGGCTCTGCTCTGTGCACTGCAAGGCCCCAAATCCTGGGTTTGGTCAGCGCCGATGAACACGCTGGTTGGCAAACGTCCGTGCCCATGATCTAGTGTTACCTTTTCAAGGTCACCCTTCTTTCTTTAGAAATCTTTTTAGAAGGTGTAGTTACTTTTGGACAGTTGTATGTGATTGAGAGTGGCACACTTCCATAAATAAATGTTTGCTAATCCTGTAGGTGTGGGAATTAACGGCTAACAACGTAATCATGGTTTCTGCTATTGGCAACGACGGGCCTCTTTATGGGTGAGTATTCCCCCTAGGGATGACTTAGAGGGGCTTTTCCCCCTGAAGTAACTGCAGATCTGTTGTCCGTCTGTCTCTGTGTCTGTCTCAAACTGTGTATCACGGGAACGTTCCACACACAACCAGCCAGACTGTGAAATGAGCCAGTGCCCACTACCCCCACCTCACTGGTCAGCTCAGGCCAGCCTTTTTGTGCTTAATTTTTTATTTATTATTTTTTAGTTTGCTGTAAACAGTAGTTTGGAGGCCTACAGTTTTTATTCACCCCCCCCCCTTTTTTTTTTCTGACATCAGGAAAGTAAACCTGCTAGAAATAAATGGATTGCACAGTACTTACTGAGACCCACTCTGCGAGGCCCAGGCGTGAGACGGTATATGGGATGAGGTGCCTGTCGTCTTAGGAAGCACGAGGTGCAGATGCAGCAGAGCTGGTGGAGGGGGAAAGTGTGGGCCGTGTAACAGACCCGGCCGGCGTCTGCAGGCTTGATGAGTGGGGTCAGATGGAGGGAGGCAGAGAGAACGCGGTCACAGAAATGCCCCTTTGTGCTGGGTCGTCATGGTGAACTAAAGCAGCATGAGATGTGAAACATCGGTCACTGCAGTATAGCCCTGAACTCGTGTCTGGTTAGAGATCCCAATCTTCTTTCACCTACGGCTCTGATTCTTACTCTGTAGGTGACGCGTGTAAGTCATCTCTTGTGCTGAAATGCTTTTGCGGCAGGATATGTGTCACCCTCCCTTGTTGGGTCCCCAGGACGTGTGTAGTTCAGTGCTGTGACAGGGTATGAGGTAACCACAGAGGGGAAAGGAGACGCAGACCGTCCTCACTACCCCGCAGCGCAGCGGGGAGAGACGAGCATGTGCCTGGGCCTTCAGAGTTGCTCGCTGCGTCATGCAATGACACCCCCAGGCGTGCACGACGGGTTCTCAGCTGACGGACTGACACAAGGGGCCCAGGGCACAGGGTTAGGCTGAGCTCTAGGAGATTACTGTTTGTACAGGTCAGGAGCTGTACATCCTGGCAGCCGTGGTTCCAGCCTGATCGTTGTTAGTGATCCTGTCTCCTTGTAAGGGGCCCACGGTTCTGGGTTTGCTGTGTCGCCAGTCGTGTGTGCTGTGACGTGTGGGAGGCCCCAGGTACTAAGCTGTCTCGTTGCCCCTTTCACGTGTTTCTCCCCCCTCGGCCACTTCTCCCATTTCTGGTCCCCCCTCAGTCCGGAGTCCCCAGACTGCCCATCAGCTTTCCAGCCTGTCTCCCTGCCTGGATGGTGTAAGGTCACTGCTGTGGGAAGAGCGCAGGCCCTGGGGCCCTCTCATCCCCGGGCCTCGGCCTCACTGTCTGTCACAGTGGGCATGAGGCCACCCTGGGTGGCACTTGCAAGGGAGACCTTCGACAGCAGAGGGAAGGCTCTGCCAATACTGAGCCCTTAGAAGTAGTAGCTCTTCCCTTTCCTTGTTTCTGTTCTGCTCCTCAGACAGATTCTAGCAGTTTTCTTATTCAGGAATCTGCAGTAGGTCGTCATTGCCTAATTAGATGCACATTTTTTTTTTTTTTTTTTTTTTTTTGGTTTTTAAGGTCCTCGCTACTCTATTCTGGAGCCAGCCAACTTTTTCTGCAAAGGGTCAGATAGTAAATATTTTAGAGTTTGCAAGCTGTGTGGTGTTTGTTGTCAGCACTCACCTGCCCTTGCAATGGGAAAGCAGCCTTGGATGTGTGTCAACGAGTGGGCATGGCTGTTCCGGGAAAAGGGGATGTACGCGGACAGGTGGCGGGCCCGCTTGGGCCTGCAGCCGTAGTTGGGGAACTGTAGCCTGCGGGTGCTGGCTCTGCTCAGTCCCCCGCTGCCCCTTCCTCAGACCCAGTCCCCTCCTGGGTCTCCCTGTAGTAACCCTCTTTATCTCTGTCCCCATCACCTGTTCTTGCTGCTGACCGTCCTTGCTTGCCTTTCTATCTGTTCACGCCCCTCTCACCAGCTCTTCCACGCGGCATTCTGACCGCACTGCCCCACGCTGGTCACTCTTCTGAAATCCTGTGACTTCTCTGGGCAGTCACACTCTTACAGTCAAAGAGTTGTCCGTTTTTTGTGTGTTAGAGGAGCACCCTGGCGAGGGCCCCGTGTCGGACGAAGTGTCTGCTTGTGGAGCCGCAGGGGGCTCGTGCTAGGAATGCCCCCCCCCCACCGTGATGCCTTACTGCTGCGCTTCGGGGACTGCGAGGCAGATGACAGGATCGTGCTCAAAGAGCTGTTGTCTGTCACAGGCGTTGCGCTCCCACCCCTCTGAAGTAATGCATCCCCACGATGCCCTGCCTGCGAGCCCCTCTCGGGGTCCTGCGCCCTTGGCACATTTGGACTTCGTTTTTAGCACAAGCCAATAAAAAAATCAGTGTTGGTGCCTCTGAACAACCACCTGTAGCATGTCGGTGGCCAGTGAGCTAAGAAGGCAGTGCCGGCATTGACTCCTGGTGGTTTAAAATGGTTGGGTAAAAGCACGTGCCTAGTCTTGCTATACTCTCCCTTAAGCCCCTGGGAAATCACTTGTGGTTATTGAATTGTCAGAGTTCTGGTTTTGGTGATAGAGCTGTAATAGGTGAGGTTCAGAAATGCGATTTCATGCATTGAAATTGATACTTTCCAACAGTTTGATGTCATCTTGGCTTAATGTCTTTAGAGTTAAAACCTTTGTGCTTTGTTTCACTGTGATTTCTCTGCAGATCTGGTGCACTTGTGGTGTTGAGGAGAATTGCATGGTTTTCCTTTGTGTCTGTCTGCCCCGTGAGGAGGTCACGATGAGGGTGGAGGGGTCGTGCCTCGGTTCCCCGTGAGGCAGGGGCGCACCCTGCACGTGATCCGTTGAGAACTTTGACTTCCTGACGGTGGCAGGTGCCAATGTGTGGCTGTTGCCACTTCCCGGAGAAGTGTGGGATCTAGTGGGGGCAGGATGCACACCCTGGGCACCGTGTGAGAGTGACGTGAGAGCCCATGAGTGGGCGACTGTCGTGAGTGCGTGGAGTCTTGTGCCGTTCAGAGAGAGGACTCCTCCAGGCCCGGGAGCACGAGGGAGAAGTGTGTCTTTTTTTTTTTTTTTTAAAGATTTTCTTTATTTATTTGAGAGTGAGACAGAGCATGAGAGGGGAGAGGGTCAGAGGGAGAAGCAGACTCCCCACTGAGCGGGAGCCTGATGTGGGACTCGATCCTGGGACTCCAGGATCATGACCTGAGCTGAAGGCAGTTGCTTAACCAACTGAGCCACCCAGGCGCCCGGAGAAGTGCGTCTTGGGAAATAATGAGAAGGTGCCCCACATACAAGATAATGGCCTCAGCCCAGCGTGTAAGTAGCAGAGAGCATGGCCTTTGACAGACAGCCACCAGGAGCCACACAAGAACCTAATGCCATCTTGGATTTTTCTGGAAGTATAGGCCCTTATCTGAATTATTCATTTTTTTTTTTTTTTAAAGATTTTATGAGAGAGAGGGGGGGAGTGGGCTGAGGAGCCAAGGGGGAGGAACAAGCCGACTCTGTGCTCAGCGCGGAGTCTGACATGTGGCTCGATCTCAGGACCCTGCGATCATGACCTGAGCTGAAATCAAGAGTCGGACATTTAATTGATGGAGCCACCCAGGTGCCCCCCTGAATTACTCGTTTAAAATACTTCTCTTCCCTTGTGTTTTTGTGCCTCAATCTAGCACTCTGAATAACCCTGCTGACCAAATGGACGTGATCGGAGTGGGCGGCATTGACTTTGAGGACAACATCGCCCGCTTCTCCTCAAGGGGAATGACTACCTGGGTAGGCTTCTCTTCACTAGCGGGATGCGCTGCACAGAACCGTGTGTGTATGAGCCTTGGGTGTGTTTATAGGTGTGCATATGGAAAAGCAGCTGGGGGAGGTGGCCGGGGCTGTGGGTGCTTGCCTGGCCACTAGGATGAACGATCTGGTGCCTTGGATGTCTGCCGTTTCATGGTGGCACTTCTTAACTGACTTCTGAGTAGCTCACTTTTTAGGTCGGTTGGATTCATGCCACTGTTCTAACTGGTAGGAAGGTGAGCAGTCCTTCCTCAGTGTTGGTGAGAGGATTTTTCTTGCCTTAGGAAGCTGGAGAAGCCAGTGAGAACAGTTTACTATCAGCTCTGCTGCCCTGGAAATAATTCTATTTAGCTGGACAAAATTGAAATAACTCCAGCAAGTTAATCAGCTCAGCTCCTTGGGGTTTAATGGTGCCACTGAGTCGTTCTCTGCTACCCCCAGGACAGAGTTGGATGTGCAGGTAGCCGCTCCTTTGGGCAGGCTCGGGTACTCCAGCCTGCCTTTCCTGATGCTCTGACTCACGAGTCGTGTCCTTGGCCTTCACCAAGGCCTTGTTTCGTAGCGGCATTTTGAGAAACATTCCTGCCTGGTCTGGCAGTCATCTTTACACAGGGCCCCATGCAAATCTGGATCCAACATCTAGTTAGGTTTGAGAGCCAGGAAAGATTTTGTTCACTTCAGATTGGTGTACTTCTTTCTTACAGAATGTAAGATCTTGCTGTAATTCTCATTTTGCTTCAATTTTCAGGACATTTAAGCGAGTACTCAGTTAAAATCTTGTTACTCGTGCAGTTACACTTACCATTCTGAGTGTTTTCTTTCCCCTCTGCTGAGACTGAAATATCCAGTCGTGTCATCTTTTCCTTGTAAAGAAAGCTCTTTCTTTAATTTTTAATTCTAATTTTCTGATATTTTTAATATATTTCTAATTTTTAGGTTACTTAAAGCAATTTCTAGTTTCTAGTCTTACAGAATTTAAGATATTCACTTTGAATTGCTTTGTTGCATTACTATTATACTGGTTATTAAAAAGCACCAGAATAATTTTGTTTTCTACATTGCCATTTAAGCTTGTGTTCTAGTGCGGTGAATTTCAGGCAGAACCAGTGTGTGACTAAGGTTACACCACGTGGAAATACCCCGTATTCACCCCCAGCTGCGTGCAGATGCATGCTGGCGCTGTGCTGTGGGGGAAACCAAGCTGCTTTCTCCGTAGGAACTCCCAGGAGGCTATGGCCGTGTGAAGCCCGATATCGTCACCTATGGTGCTGGGGTGAGGGGCTCCGGGGTGAAGGGGGGCTGCCGGGCCCTGTCGGGGACCAGCGTGGCTTCTCCGGTGGTTGCCGGCGCCGTCACCCTGCTGGTAAGGTGAGTGCCGCTCAGCAGAGAGGGGGTGGTGCTTCAGAGCAGGGGCTGACTCTTGCTTGTCCCCAGCAGCTTTGAGAGTTGAGGAGCATGCCGTGAACCTGGCTCCATCTCTCTCTCCGTCTCACCCCGTTCCGTGGGGGTGGGGATTCATGTGCATGAACACACGGTAAATCTGACTGGAAAGCCCTGGGTGAGGGCACAGTACCTGCGACTGTTCTCATGTCTGCTTTTGTTCCAGTTTGTTTTTACTAAATACTTTTTTTAAGATTTATTTCTTTATCTGAGAGAGAGAGTGGGGGCAGAGGCAGAGGGAGAGGAAGAGAGAGAATGCTAAGCAGGTTCCACACTCGGTGCAGAGCCTGACGCGGGGCTTGATCTTAGGACCCTAAGATCATGACCTGAGCCGAAATCAAGAGGTGGATGCTTAACTGACTAAGCCACCCAGGAGCCCCTTAAAGACTTATTTTTAAGAGTTGGTTAAGCGGCTGTCTTCAGCTCAGGTCATGATCGCAGGGTCCTGCATGGAGCCCCATGTTGTCGGGCTCCCTGCTCCACGGGGAGTCTGCTTCTCCCTCTGACCCTCCCCCCGCTGCTCGTGCACGCCCATGTGTTCTTTCTTTCTCTCTTTCTCAAATAAATAAATACAATCTTTAAAAAGAAAAAATGGTTTTAGGTTCACAGCAATATTGAGGAAGGTTCAGGATTCCCCAGGGACCCTGTGCTTCCAATTTTTTTTTTTTTCCTTTTTAACATAACAGTTTTGTGCTATAGTTGTACTTTTTATGTCCAAGCAAGTGTGTATCTCAGGCAGGGAACAAAAAGATGTTTTCCTCCCATTTTTTCATTTCCTTGGGGAGTGACCTTTCAATGTGCTCTGTTAGCCGAGAGGAGCTGCGGTCAGGCAGCGGGACTGAAGTTTCTCCGTGTAATTTATCTGTTCTCTCTGTCTCATTGAGTCCCTCGTATGGTTGGAACGGAGCTTCGTGATTGGCCCTTAATTTTGCAGATAGTGAAGTTGGAAGAAAGTTCTCAAAGACAGTTGGCCAGAATTGATGCTCACGTGCTGTGACTTAGATGCCTTATCTCAAGGTTACAGAGAGAGGTCTTTGGAGTTAGTGCTCATTTTGTACTTTTCCCCCAACTCACTCTCTTTTGACTTAGATGAGGCATTAGTTGAGCTTTTGTGTTGGGGTAATGTAAAACTGCATAGTTGAAAGTTAATATATTCTATGTTAATTTTAAAATTAAAATAGGGAGATGATAGTAAATGTTTTTATGTTTAAAGTTCTTTTTTAAAGCAAGTAAGTTTATGTTGATTTTAGTTTCTGAGGCCTGGAATGTTCTATCTCTGTCCTCCTTTTCCCATCCTTCCCTTAGAGTTCAGAGCCAGATTCTTGAAAATACACTGGCTAGGGTGGGCTCTAGAGAAGAACCCTGTCTTTTTTCTTCCAGTTGTTTTCCTTACCCCACGTTCCGTGTGGAGAGGAGGAGGGGAGGGAAGGCAGACTGTGGAGTCACCTGGTTGCACTCAGGCTTTCATACTCGGTGGAGGAGCACGTTCCACTGGGGTCTGGCTACCTTGTTGCTTAATGGGAACAGAGACCCTGGCTCCTTCCCCGCCGACCATCACTGCGGACGGGGCTGAGGCTCAGTTGCACTCCTGAGCCCAGCAGACCTCTCCCCATCGGGCAAGCAGCGAGGCGAGGAGGCTTTCATTTCCAGTACTTTCTCTAAGTACAGCTGCTTCCGGTGTCAGGGAAGCCTTTCACTTTCCTTATCTCCCTGCAGCTAATAAAAGTGCCACTGTCGGAGCTCAGAAATGTGCCCAGGGCGAGTCAGCTCGCCTCCAGCCTGGCAGCACTCCTGAGGAAGCCGGGCCTGGCCTTTGGTCTGGCCTGTCCACGCAGGGGTGGGGGCTGGTGGCTGCCGCTGAGCTTCTGGCCACTCTGATTCTGACTCCCACTTCACCTCCTCTGACTCTCCTTACACCAGATTTCCCATCTAGACCTATTAGAAATCCCGCCCACACTTCCAAGACCAGCCACCATCCTAGATATTTGGGAACTGTGGAGAGTCCATTTTTCTTTTTGCTTTCTTTTTTGTGCCCTGCATTGAGGGGGTAAAATTTACTTGTATTTATGATACGTAGACATACGGAAATGTGTGTGTTAGTGCTCGTGTTCTTAAGCATTGATTGTGCCCGTGTGTCATGGGGTTCCTGGCCAGGTAGCGCTGTGTGTTCGTTTGTCCAGGTGTGTTCTGATGAGGCAGAGCTCGGGCCCAGGTGTGCAAGGGCCTTCCCCACCTGTGAGCTCGCACACCCGGCCTCCAGAACGGCCAAGGCGGGCGGAGGCCATGGGCGTCACTCGGGTGCTGTGGCTCCTGTCTGTGCCACGTGGAGGTCCTCCGCGGGCCCCGCCTGCTCTCTGTTCCTTCTGCTGCCGGGTGCCATCACAGCTTGTCTACTTCCTTCTGCCAGCAGGCTTCCCTTCCCCTCAGGAGCCGGGCACTCTGACCCGTTCCTGCCTCCTGCAGCCTTTGTGGTCTGTTTAGTCGTGTCACTGGGAAAATACGTGGTTCTCACGAACTTAGTATATAACAGGCAGAAGCTCCCTGAGTCACTTGGCTAAGAAGTTGTCCCGAGACAGGTGCAGAAATGACATGTTCGTTCTCAGCCCACACGGGCTTGACTGGAGCGGCCCCCAGGAGATGTGACGCAAGATCGGAATAGGTTAGGAATAGTCCGATTTTCCTCCTCCTGCTGAGAGACAGTGAGCAAATTCGTGATTTTCTCTCCAGCACAGTGCAGAAACGCGAACTGGTGAACCCGGCCAGCATGAAGCAGGCGCTCATTGCGTCCGCCCGGAGGCTTCCTGGTGTCAACATGTTTGAACAAGGCCACGGCAAGCTGGATCTCCTCAGGGCCTATCAGATCCTCAACAGCTACAAGCCACAGGCGAGGTTGGTACGCTTCCTTTAAATCGGCCTCCCTTCCTCCCTGGGCTCTGAGGGTGTTCCTCCCTGTGCACAGAATGCTGGCCTCAGAGACAGGAGCCGGGCACTGATCACACCACACCAGCCCCTCGGGGTGGGGGGGCATCATGCAGCTGCCACCAGGCGGCACTTGAACTCACGTTCTGTTATTTGTAGCACACATAGCTTAAGATACTGGTTTGGTTTCTTTTAACTTTTTTTTTTTAAGGGAGGTTATTTTTATTTATTTATTTATTTATTTATTTTTTAAAAGATTTTATTTATTTATTAGAGAGCAAGCGAGAGAGAAACAGCATGAGAGGGGGGAGGGCCAGAGGGAGAAGCAGACTCCCTGCCGAGCAGGGAGCCCGATGCGGGACTCGATCCAGGGACTCCAGGATCATG